TAGGCACTATCTGCACAGCCCTTTGACACACCCCTTCAGACAGTTTCCAGCATGCCTTTCCATAAGACTTTTCTTTCTTTTTGAGATGTGACTTTTGATCTTTAACAAATGTGTTTCTTAGCTTAAATTCAGATGTCCTTAGTCAGAAAACTTTGACTGTTGATCTGCTTTTCACGTTTCTGGATTCTGGCGAGATACCCCTTCATGCTGCTTTACTTTTATGGGGTCTGACTCGGGTAAAAGCCCTTTTAGTAGCATGCAGTGGCTCATAGCACATGCAATGGCCACACGAGAGAAGGAAACACTCAGACCCAGACAGCTCGGAATTATGCGCACTGTGCAATAACAACATACCCGAAGACATCCCTCACTGCCTTCTCTTCTGCCCGGAAGCGGCCTGGATCTGGAACAAGGTTCTGGAACTGTGGCCAATCCTCTTCTCAACACCACCTCCCAACGCCCCCCCCTTCTAACTATCCTACTCTTCGTCAACACCCCCAGGAACATCAAGGGCAGCAGGGAAGTCTGGTTCAATCTACTCAGAAACTTGACCCTCTGGGTCATATGGAAACGCAGATGCACACAGACAATCGAGGGAACAGAGGCGACAAGAGAGGAAATGTGGACTCTTCTGCTAAACATGGCAGAGACCGAGATCCGGAGCAGATGGCAAAAGATATCTTCATCCAAGCATCGCAGACCAGAAAAGCACGCAGTCATCATTATTATTTTTTTATTGTTTGAATAAAGAGGGGAGGAGAAAAGGAGGAGGGATTGGTTGGTGAGAGGAAGGGAATTATCATTGGTAAACAGGTCCTTATGGCCCTGTCTCCATTTCCATTCTGGGGAGCATCAGTCCGGTTCCTTTTCCACCCGGCAAGTCAGGAAAATAATTACATCAAGGAACACCCTCACGCTTCCTTCCGTCTGGCCGAAGGAACCTGATCAGCATTGATTACTCCAACATCGTGGAGGATTGACTGTCAGCTTGCCTTGCTTCCATCTTCCCTCTCAGGACTACTAAAGGAGCCTGTCAGATACAACATGACTWGCAAGAAMGGACTGAGAAGCTGTGGCTGCTGCCAGCTCCGTCTAAAAACCTAAAACCCCGCTGCTGATCCTCATGAAATTCCTAACCTTCTAGACCCTGTTTGTCTTTGTTCCTGTCAAAACGAAAGCCTC